ACGCAAGAACATCATGTTAACCATTCCAGTAGGGTTGTACCCATAATTGACCTTAATTGACACATCAGCTGAAAAACTCTTTTTCAAGAGCGCAAAAAACTAATCGGATTACCTAATCCTGTTTCTCTTCCTCAATGTTGCCAACTTCCTCTTCAACAGACTTTTTTCCCTCCGGTTCGAGATTATTTGTACTATCATACTGCTTCCTTGCTATACCCTTTGTCTTGACATCTAAGCACGAGCTTGGATAGCATCGCGTATGTTTGATAATCAAATAATAAGCGCTTCTTATGGACGACATCGCACACGTATCGCGCGGATAGCCACTGCACGAACTTGATCAAATACAACTAGGAAATCGATATGAGATCAAAATTTCTTAGCTTCTATTAGCTTCTATGCTTCTAAAATTAAAAATACTGTGGCCATCAAAGAAGTAGAACAAAAGAAATTTTTGAGTTTGACAAGGCATAATTTCTTGTTCATTTATTTATTAATTTTTCACTCAAGTGTTCTACATTAAGTCTAGTCACAAAAAGAACCATGGGAAAAACCTCATCATTCAGATCAAGTTCACTCAATAAAACTCATGCAGAAAGAGTCGGGTAGGATCACCTTCGGGTAACATCATTAGACTGTAACTCTGAAATATACCAAATCGAAGGTATTTCATATCACTGCGAATAACTTCTCACATTGAAGTATCAGAATGCATTCGGCAAAATTCTTTTTGATAGAATTTTTTTGAGACAATAAACTCTGATTTCCTTAGAAATACTAGTGAACAGTAATTGTAAGGGTGCTGGATTTGCAGCTTTCGCTGCGGGAGCCGGGCAGTTTCCCGCAATTTCATCTTTTTTGAATAGGCACAGCGATTCTTTATACATAGATTTGATTACCAATGTAGTGTTGCAAGAAAGAACAAAATAAAAACAGCAGGATTTCACTTGTCAACGGTTTTTTTGGCGAAGGATCAAATGATTTGATTCATTCGATAATCGAAGTATTTTTCCAAAATTTAGTAAACACAAGGAGGTATAGCCGAACCCTTCGAATTTGAGGGTAATCTGATCGAGGTAACGAAAAATATCTGACTAATGCCATCTATTTCAAAATGTCTTCATCCTCACAAGCATTTGATGTCTATTTTTGAAGGGATCGATGTTCAGGGTGTAGGCTTTATACATGGTTGATATTTTTACAATTTTTATATTCGACCAATCTTTCAAAAAGAATGAATTTTCACAAAAAGGAAGACTAGAAAAGGTAAAAAAATTTCGCTGTCTAACCCTTCTTTAATTGCTGAACCGCAAGATTTTTGCTTGAGTAAATATCAACCTTATCAGCTAATCTTAAAGAAAAAACAACTTTATATATGTTTATCTTCGTTTCGTCCCTTTTCTAAGACGAAATTTTGAAATCCAGACCCTCTCCGGGACTCTTCAGTAAGACGAGAGGGTCTTTGGACTGGAATTGGACTGCTATGTATTTGACCACATGGACTGCTTAGTACCAGATAGATCAAATAAACAACCCTTTTGCTTATTTACATTTATAGTTATGAAAAACTAGCTCATAATATTCGTTTAGTACAGACTCAGCGAATCATCAGAAAGTGACAATCATAGTGATTAGTCAGCCTCATCTTCTCAAACGATCCAAACTATATGAATCGCTATAGTTCTCAGGCTTCATCTTTTGTATTAGTTTTCACCGTAGGCGCAATCTCATGATAAACATTACATATACAGCATACATGACTAATATGCCGAAATGAGCTAATCGTCGAAGAATGTGAAATCTTTGATTGTGAAGTACATAGCAGTGGCTATTTTGAATTTGTCAGTGCACTACAGTCTTCACATAGAAAATACAGAGATACCAGTGTCTGAGGGGAGGAGGGGGAGGAGCATAGAATGTTTCGTAAAATTTTCAGAATTCACTCACATGAGTCATAAAAACGTGCAGAGTGACCTGTTTATTCTTGTAAACAAATAAAATAATTTTCAATTTTTTAAAGATTTAAATTAGCCTTGCAAAAAAATTTTTTCTAGAATATCCTTTTTTCTAGATTCTAGAAGTTGTGGGCCCGCAAAAATTTTGAGAAGCACCCCAAAAATTTTTCGGAGTGCGTGGCCGACTCCATGCACCTTCGTTCGAAAAGAATTTTTGACAATTTTCCCCCCACCCCAAACGGAAATCCTGCGACTACCATTGATAGATACCAGCGATGATGCTACCCTTCTTCTATATTAGATTAACTTATAATTTTACCAAAACTTAGTAACTTAGAAAAGAAAAATTTTGCACTTTTTTATTTGCTCAACGAAATAATTCATTTTGGCATATCAAGTTACATGCCGTTGAGGAAGAACAGTGAAATCGTAGTTTTAGAATTTTTACAAAAATTCTGTTCCGAAAAGCCCCATAAAAGCTAATTTTACTTTCAGTGCGTTTCATAAATTCCTTTTTCAGCTGAGGAGATTGGATGTGCCTATCGATATTTATGAATTTCGACTTCTTTGGTCGATATCTCGATTTTGATACTCGTAAAGTAATATACTTTGTAAAATAGAACATTTTAAGTTACAAGATAAAATCTGTAATACATACTAAAGGGTTTTAAAACGAACTAAAGGTTTTGGTGCAAGAATATGGACCTATATGAGAAGTTGCGGGGAAGCTCTATGCCAGGGTTGCGGGGAAGCTCTATGCCTCCCTCGCAACTCCTGCACGAAGAAGAAAGCCTGCAGATCTTTTGAAATTCTGTGCCTTCCCCGCGCAACTCCTGCGAGCGGCCTTAATTGGGTCACAAAACCCCGCCTCCCAGCCTCAAGTCAGTTGATAAAGGTTACACATCGAACACTATGTTCTTGCATTGTTGACAATCTTGGAAGACTATGGAACTGTCTGAGAAATATTCTCTAAAATTTCCAAAAGATCTGCAAGCCCTCCTTCTTCGTGCAGGAGTTGCGTGGAAGGCATAGAGCTTTAATTTTTGAGGAAAGAACGAAATGGCGATGGAATTCGTATTATGCATTGCATATTTTTTATCTTAATGTTTTTGTGCAATGTAATAAGACAAAATCTGTGTTTCAAGGATTTATTTATACTCTTTTTTCTTATTTTGTTTTTCAACAAGTGACCATATAAGAAGTAAGTCGAATAGCTTCAGCTGTACGACTTCTGACATCGTCATCGCCGTCGCGTTTCGTCTATTCGGTCGTTTTCCAGTGTTGGTAATGCGATAAGTGTGGCAAGCCAATTTCGCTCGTGTTCGGCGAAGATTTCGGACGAGATTTAGTCGGGCCGTTGACGATGTGATGCGTCCAACGAAATCAACGCTGCTGAAAAGTGATGAAAGCCGAAAAGACATAGACACAACAAAACAGAGCCTTCGAAGTCGGATTTGAGAGATTTGCGCCGAAAAATTCGTATAGAAATCCCCATTTTTCGTAAAGAAACAAGTCGATGACGTAAGTACAAAGCAATATTCGATAAGTAGATTTGCTCTGCATTGTTAGAGGACATTCCGAGGTCTAAGGCTGCACATCCGCTTGCGCTTGTCCCTGCCAGCTCTATTTTATTGGTGCTAATCTAATTTCAAGCTAGATTTGCTTAGTGCATGGCGCGCATTTGGCGCAATGAGCAACTTTCCTTTTCGGATTTTCTTTTGTTTCCGCATGAGTTCACATCATGACTCATAACAACTATCTATCAAGTGACTCGAGCAGAAAAGGCCATGGAACTTCATAGACTAAACAAAGACGAATGAAACAAAACAGGTTGCAAATTGGCAGAGTGCCAATTTTTTTATTTGAACAGATGGATGATTACTTAAACTTCAATAGAGCCAGTCCCCGAAATTGCATACTTCTGCAAATCCAGAGCTAGAATTTTATCAAAATCTGAAGGATGTTTGAAAAAACTCTAGTGAAGAGCTGGAAATTTTTGATTACTAAAAAACTTGATTTTATCAATAGCTGGCTCTAATCGGGCTGAAATTATTTTTGACTTAAAAAAGCTTGGCTTGTATCCAAGTTAACGCTGAAATGTGGCAAACCGAGCAATTTTCAAGGATCGCATACCTTAAGAAAAGTAATTCAGATTTTTGAATCCTCTATGACAATCAGTGGAGAGAATGAATAATAAAAGAAAAAATTTGCCCGTGTGCTAAGCAGAATTGCAGTTTAGGTTTACCCGAGACATTCCGAAGTGATTTTTGTCGCACTTTTGTCAAGGTATCAGTTGTCCAACTTTCTGTTTTTCTACCTTCTTTGCTTTCCAGAAGAATCTCAGTTTTATTTTATTCCGGTTCTTTTCATCAGTATGTGAATTTGGACAGAGTTTTTGTTTTCAGGAGACTTCTAGAAACTTCCGGCTAAAACCAAGATTTTCATTAACTGCTCAATCATTAACGTTCTCCGTCTTATCTCGCCAACAGCAAATGACTAGAATCATCAAAAACTGAAAGATGGTTAGAGATAATATTTTTCTTAGAAAAGTTTTTGCCTTCATTGCTGATTCAGAATCTAGAACCCATCACAATTAGAAAATAAGATCGAATCCAGAATTTGCATACGAAAAAGTAGGAAGAACAAATGTTTGTGAAATGGTCATGATAAGATTTTATTGAAAAATTTGTAACCAAAAAATTATCATTAGTCGAAGGTGTTACACCGAAACAAATAGGCATTGAAATAACAGCCCAGAATACTCAAATTCAAAAAAAGCCAAAAATTAAAGGTACCATGAGGAATGTTTGAACATTTACTTCCTACTTCCTGCTCATAAGATGGTTCAAACCTCTGAGCACTTGGTATGACATATCTTCAAAAACTCCACTTGAGTAAGCCAGTGACATTTTCTTGCAAATGTCAACATGGCGAGTATGATTAAACATAGCAGTTAGCACCGTGCAGTTGGCAGCTAGCCAAACCCTCCCCCCCCCCCTAACACCACCCTCAAATACCGTACGTGTATCATCACATCGCAATGCGGCTTTACCTCTGTCCGGGCTGACCTTAGCACCCGTCCGTCAGCACAGACGACACGCTATATTTGTCCTTTATTCTTTGCTCATATTTGCTGGTCCGCGCGGCTACTCGCACGGGGTGCCAGCCCCCGACAAGCCTCCTCGGAAGGTGCACGGGGGCGGAGGCGGAGCCTCGCCGCGCTGGCCGAAGGGAGGAAGCTCGGACTGAAGACGAGCGCGACGACAAGCCAGCCGGCCAGCCAGCTTCTGCCCCTATAGTTTTCCCCGTTTTGGCCTAACGGAGCACTCTCTTGGCAACCGGAAGCGCATATTTGATCTACACTAGTATTTCTGCATATTTCTGCCCATAAAATCTGCTGTCGAAATGCGGGCAGCATGCCTGTGTTTCGTTTTGATCTCATTACCAAATGCAGTATTTGCTATTAGTTGTTTGGTTATGAGGCCAGGTAGGTAATTTTCAAATTATTCCATTTTTAATTTGTCAAAATTCATTTTTTGTATGTTTAAATCCTTCCTACCAAATCTACCCTGCTTAGAGGGTGTTCATATTTCTTTCTGCTCGTTTCTCACGAGCAAACCAAAGCGTTTCATTTTCCCAAATCCTCAAATGATGGATCCATAGGGTTAAGAGGCTTTTTGGTATTGACTAAAGAAACTGGCAAAAAACTTATCTCGTATGGAGAGTAGAGCCCCGTGCTTTATAAAAGAGCGTTTTGCAGGAAAAATACTCAAAAAGCCATTTTTAGCGGAATTTTTGGCGCGAACTTCAAAAAATTTGAAGCGGTACTCTTTTACCCCTTCCAAAGCTCTGCTGACTAAATTTCGCTCTATTCACTCCACTCTTCAATCTATACAGATGTCTCCACAGCTGCACAATGTTCTTTCTCTTCATTCACACTCATTCAGACCCCCTCCAAAAGAGTTTTTTCACCCCCTCCGACGTGCTTAGCGTATAATTTTGGCGCAAAAACTCGCGCGAACTTCATCGTCTCTACTAACTCGTTCACTATGCGGCTCTGACAATTCAACTATGCATGTGTAAGTGCAGCCGATTCAGAGCGCTGACAGCTCCTATTTGGCTTCACACATCGCTTGCGGGGTTGAATAGGGAAAAATCAGGCTCGGGTTACGATTTTTAGCGCATCGGGGCGAGAAGCCGATGCGCTTCCTGAGCAGTGGCTGATTTTCGCAAAAAGTTGGGGTTAGTGATCTGGCTATACGAACTGGAGATTTCTCGATTCTTTTCAAAGTAGGAAAGGAGAGGAAGGGCGGAGAGGGAGGGTGGAGGGGGGGGGGGGTGAAAAAGTAGGTGTCATCTGAAGCTTAAGTGAGGGATTGAATTACATAGCAAATCAAAATGTTCAAAAGATCAAGACATCGGAAACATGGCGAATCGATTAATGGAGATATGTAAAATTGAATTTCTCAATTCCTTTTGAAGTAAGGAAAAGAAGATAGAGGGAATGGGAAGGCAATGAAAAAGCAGGTGCATTTGAAGCTGTAGAAAGGAATCAAATTACATAACAACCAAAGAAGTTCAATAGGTCACAGACATGACAGACATTTCTTGGAAAAATCAATAACGAACAAGTTTTCTACATTCCTTCTTCAAAAAATAAATCATTCGACTAAACTCCATTAGTTCTATTCCGACAGTTTTACTTGGAAAGTGCTCTAACATTCTGGCCATTGTTTCCTTTAAAAAATATATGAAAAATGGGTAGAAATTTTTTGTTAAACCCCAATGATGTGGTTTAAACTGGATACAAGTCTTTCTAGTATTTTCTGTAAGTTTTTTGACCATCGGTTTGCCTTCCTTTCGCAGTAAACAATTTGGTAAGTGCGCTAAAAAATCTTAAAAAATACATAAAAATTTCCTTCGATTCCATTATTATTGTTAAAATGAAGGCTAATTTCCTTAATTCTTATATTTTTATTCTCAATCTGACTTTCTTACGCTGAAAACATTCTGGCCGGAGTTGGCGCTACAAAAACGTTGAAAAATTGTCTATCTTGATCTACTCAGAAATCGAAATAAGTATCTCTAATATTTTCTTAAAACTGTATTACTCTCAATTTGCCTTTTTTTACGAAACAATCTGGTATGTGCGCTAAAAAATTTAAAAAAATAGGTAAAAATTGCTTGTCAAATTCCACTAATCTTGTTGAAAGTGAAAACAAATTACTCTACATTTTTTATGAGCTTTTAGTTTCGGTTTGCCTTTCTGACGCGATTAACAAATTTAACCAGAACTTTCACTCAAAAATGTAAAAAAATTGGACAAAAATTCTGTGGAAACTCCATTAATCAGTTAAATCTTAAAACAAATTTCTCTAATATTTCCTATAAGTTTTTCTAAACTCTCGATTGCCCTTCCTGAGCAGTAAACAATTTGAAAATTACTTTCCATGATTTCTCGAATTGTTTTCTCTCTTCTCCCATCCCACTTGTCTTCAAACTTCTTTGTAATGGTCTGAAGAGCCACTCATCTCCCAAAATTCGCCTTCCATCAACTTCTTCAATGCTTCCCATTCATTCCAAAGTATTCCCACTTCTTTCATTTGCGTTTCGAATTCCTTGCAGATGATTGCATTTTCCATAAAACATTTGCAAAAATGTCTTTTGAACGATAATCCGCGAATAATAGGTGTTGGCATTTCAAGTGCAAATGCTCTTTCTACCCATTGTGATTACTACAGTTTTTCAAAGATTTTCATGTGTGAAATTTTATAAAAGTGATGACGACAAGTTTTTCTTGGGCAGAAGAAGTACGGAAATCCATTTGTGGAAAACCGGCTTTGATTTTTTTTCGTAGCAGTCATATGTTTAATGGAATTCTGCAATACTAGTAGCGTGATGTTGATAATACAAAATTGAAGTTACTTCCCCCCCCTCCTCCCCCCTCTTCCCCCCCCCCCCCTCCCTCCTCCCCCCCTCCCCTCCCCCCAGTTGTTTTTGACTTGCGTTCAACAAGGTTAGGACGTCACACCTATGGAACGCGTTTATCTAGGAGCAAAAAAGACAAACAAGCAGGCTTGAACGTCTTGACAAACAATTTTGAAGCTATTTGTCATCACATGATCAGTAAAGCACTTAGCTATATACAAGCGGGGGGGGGGGTAAAGAACGTTGAGAAATTTATAAGGGTTTTTTCTGGGAAAATTTAAGTCGATTTGCGTCATTGCGTGGGCAAGTCTTATGTTTCAAGGCGAACTCATTGGAAATTATAGGTTTCTGTGAAAATTTCCGGGCTGAGTAGTTTCACAGCTAGGGGAAAATCTTGGCAAGTTTCCAAGCCCTAGAAATTCCACTGCAAAGTCATCCATCAGTTCAAATCAGTAGCAATAGTATCAAAAACAATGGAAAAATTTTTTTACGGTAGAACTATCAAATTCTGTTTCATGCCTGCCCTTAGACGAAGTATAAAAATTTACAAACTTTTCCGAAAACTTCTAAGTGAGCTAGGGAAGTCTCTAAACATTATGATTTAAGTATTTGGTCAAAAGTATTTTTTTGAGATAACAATTTTAGTTTATAAATTGTAAAAAGTAGGAAGAAAACATTAGTTTTTAGATCAATTTTTCAAAATGTCATAATTTTGCTACTAAGAATAAGTTCTCCCCATGTCCATCTACTGCCATAATTGCGCAAAATCCTTTCTACCCCCCCCCCCCCCCCACTCCCTCGTCCCGTTTTTTCTCACGAAATTCGCGCACATTGATGCGGGGGGCCCTAATTTGCTTATGTATGGAAATGCGCCCCCTCCCCCTCCCTAATAGCATCGCAACGCAAGCGAAATGCATAGCGTAGGTGCTTTTAACTGCATCGCCTGTTTTTGTACATGGCACGACATCAAGAGCGACATCCTGTCTGTCCCACTGTCAAGGACAACTCGTCCAAAACAGAGTTGTGTGACACAGCAGCCATTACATAGGTTAATAGGATCACCGTAACAGTTCCGAAACTTTGTCAATATGTTTGCAAAAAAAACAGTTTAGAAGACCGGGTTGCAGCAAAAAGTGTGGAACTACTTAGGGAAATATTAGGACCGCTTTGTTGTAGGTTTCCTTTCGAAGGCTCGCAATCAATGATTTATGAATTTATTCAACAAGGCAAGGGGGGAAGGGACGGGGGGAGCTCGGCAAAATGTAAAAAAGCTCACAGAACCTCAGCTTTTTTCCTGAAGGATCCCTCTAAAAATTTGAAAGACTGCCTGTTAAAATTTGAGCCTTGAAAAAAACCTATAATCATAACATTTTCTTAACTGGTAAATAAAGATAAATTGGTCTTTTCTTTACTTTATATAGTAAAAATAAAGTTGCGTTCTTTTATATTTCATCAGCAAAACAGCGCTTTCTTTGTAGCTTGTTGAACCATTTCACCAAAATACAGTGACCCATTTCTTATAAGCTTTTCTACAAAATCTACAAATTTTTTGCTTAATTATTTTGACCATCTCACCAATTATATGATAAACTTTTTGAATGTGCTATATTCGCTTTTACTTCTAAAGAGGAATCACGCAATTTCGACTAGAACTGAAAGAATGAAATCGTAAATTAATGGCGCAGATGGCGAACATGGCTACTTTCTGGTCTAACATTGCGGAATGTTAATTTACGACACTTTCTGCATTACCTGTAAACAAATAAAAAGTTATGGCTTCTTTTATAGGTATTGGGGAATGATAGAAGGCTATTGAGTCATAGGTAACTCAATTTTTATAAACTAGATGGTGAAAAATTGATACGCAAAATTTTGACATTTCTTTGCTTGTGATTGACGCAATTTTTTTTCTCCGTATAATATTGTTCAACTTTTTCTTTTTTCCTGATTGTGAATAAGCCTAATTATACTCTTTTGATTCCTAAAGAATTCGTAGCCTTGAAAGTGATGTATTGCTTGTTGTTAACAATACAAATCGCCAAATCCTTTACGCTGCCTAAAACCCCTCAAGGGACCAATATTTTCGCAAATTTCAGTGCTAAGCATTCAGCATCGAAATTTTTGACCTCTGCGACCCCAAACAATTCAGCTCCACTTTTTTTGTGATTGATCACTTGTTGCTCGAAAGTGCATTCGGTGCACAGCCCAAGATTAAGACGACATACACTCAAGAGTGACTCCGGGTACTCAAAACGACCGCACATCGGGACGGGTAGGCAAATCGTCGCTAACAGAAAAGTCAACAAATTCAGGCGGTTCTTCGATTGTTTTGGCAGGTCGAAGGTTTAGACGCGAAAAATTTACGGGAATCCGAGGAAAAAAATGGCTGATTAAATTGTTGATATCCTGGAATATTTTACTCCAGCTAAAATTTGGTTAAATTGCGTTTTCAGTAGCCTGGAGAATTCTGTAAATGCTGAAATCTAGTCAAATTACACTTTGTAAAGCCTAGAATTCATCTTATGGTTAAATTGTCTCGCGATTATCCTGAAAAAAATTGTGCCTCCCCCCCCCCTAAAATTTAATTAAATTGTAATTTTATAGCGTTAAAAAGTTTCGACTATATATGGTCAGTTCATTTTGGATAGCCTGAAAAAATTTAACTCTGCGAAAATTTCTCTTAAAAATTTGGTCGAATTGCATTCTAGAAGCCTGAAGAATATTTTATTTATGTCAAAATCTGGATTATATCTTAAATAGCTTAAAAAATATGTTCATGCTAAAGTCTCGTTTTGTTGGAAAGACTAAAAAAATTACCCATTCTTACCCATTCTAAAATGAATTAACTTTAACAGCCTTCTTAACCTGCTTAAATTGCATTTTTATAGCCTGAAAAAAAAATTCCACCTATCCTCAATTCTGGCTGAACTGCATAAAAATGAATGAAATTCTGCCAGGAAAAAATTGATTTAATATTTTTTTTTGATTTTTTCAATTTCAATTCTGATGCTATAAACTGAGTAAATTGTAGTTTGATAACCTGTAAAAAACCTCACTCTCACTAATTAATCAAGTACATATTATAATGCAAAGCCATATATTTTCTTGCAAAGAAATCTAAATCACCTAAATCGCCTGTCCACTTGCCCAAATCGGTGCCTGAAACAAAACCAGAACCCATAGATTGTCCTTTTTAGCTGTAGCCCCTAAATATCCTCCGAAGCCTTGGATAAAATCTATGGATTGTCGGCTTCGCCCAGCCATTATAGGCTTCAAGAGCTGCTGTAATGAAAAAACGACATGATATACGACAAGGGCTTGAATGTTCAAACACACCCTCGCTCCCCATAAACGAATCCTTAAGAAAACCCCAAAAATCAATTCTATCTTCCATTTGTCTTCAATTACGTCGCGAAATCGTGTGATCAAGAAATTTCCACGTTTTTTTGAAAGGGGGCGTAAATACAGGGCATGAAATCGGATCCCATGCAAACACCTCTACTCACAAAGCCACGCCAGCGCTTATGACGTAAGTTGCGAAAAAATTTTTCGCCGTTGCATGATCCATCAAATAAAATCTTTGGCCAACTTGAACCTCGGGACGAGAGCAAGGAGGGGGGAGGGGGGAGGAGAAAGAGGGAACGGCGGTGGCGGTAAAATTGTCTAATTTTTCCAGTTTTGCAAGTCTCAATCAGGCTAAATCTTGCGGCTGGAAAAGTTGTTTCAAAATCAATGGTGCCAATAAAATAAAATGTCCTTGGAAAGCTGCTTAGGGAAGTCTAAAATTTAGTCTGGAATTGAAAAAATTTGGAAAATTTTTTTCTAAAGCACATAATTTTACGAATTTCTACCAGTCTTTTTATAAAGTCTGAATATTGAATATAATTATGTGAATAATAAACTGATGTAATTTTTTGAATTTTCACAGAATTCTCTAGTTACTTCAAGATGAGCATCCTCCATAATTTAAGGAAACACCCAATTTCATTAATCTATTTTCTCCTTTTTGCTGTCCTGGCAATGGAATAATCTATTTTTTTTTTCTTAAGATTCCATTTGCAGTCTAAACATAATCATTGGGTTTGGAAAATGCGCTGGATTTTATGCTGCTAATAAATTGAACAAGATTTAAATTTGAAATTTGATATATGAGAATATAAGGTGCTAAAAGCTTTGAAGAATATCCTGAAATCAAAAAAAATACTATAAAGCTGATATGCTGTCTCTTCTCGATCTCTAGAGGTTAGCTAATTTACAATATATATGGTCCTCTAAAACGCCAGTAAAGACAAGACCTGAAATTTACTAGTGCGGGAATGGAAAGCTGAAAGAAACCTCTTAAAATCTGAAAAAAGTTCGATATAAAGAGCTATGATTTTTTTTCTAATTTTTCACAGATTTTCTAGCTACTCTAAGCATAAATTTATCATGGTTCTCCAAATTATAAAGATTTTTCATCCATTCTCTAAGCATTCGATATTTTCCTTTTTTGCGGCTCTTCAACTTTAGAGACTATCTTTGACAGATCTTCATAAAACTTCATAGAGGACTGACATGTGACATCAAGACTCTTGAAACTCTCCGGTGTTCTGCTAATTTTAGAAACTGACTGCAATTTTTAAGGCGATTTTTTTCGAAAAATTCTTCCTGCAATTCAATTTTGCCTTTTTTCACTCCTAAACCTTGTTATTTCTGCAACCACAGAAAATAGCAAAGGGCTAAAATTTCGTAAAGCTGTCACTGCTTCTTATAGGCGCAGCGCACTGATTGCTCGCAAATCATCTCAAATTCGCACCCGCAGTTTCGGGGGTTCGTTTCGCGCCATTAGTAATATGCTTATTTTGGAGATAGTGATTCCAAGGGTCCGTCAGCGATGGTCCCATGGGTCCCGACACTCCCAGCGGTGATTTCGACGAGTCACATCGAAGATGAATGAAGATTAGAGGGGCAAAACAACGCACGGCTTTGCCTGGCTCGACTACTCGGAGTCATTTGTAACTTAATATGTGAGATTGCACACTATGCGCGGCAGCCGACGACAAACCCTTACTAGTAACTCTTCAGTAGTAGAACCTTTTTCTAGCGTACAAACTGTAGAAATATGTATTATTGACTAATCATATTCAATCAAATCGAAAAGGGAAGAAAACAAGAAAAATCAATATAAATGAGGAAATTCCAACTTTACAAGTCGTCAAGTAGCGCGCTTAGTGTGTAATCACCACAACCCCTCCCGGAAGCCACCAACCGATAATCCGAAACAAATACACATCAAACGAATTCGCTTGGTCATTTGGGTGATTCCCGCGGATGATCATAGCCTTGAAGGACCCCGGCGCACTCTCAATTACCCATGTATTCTCACCCCGAGCAACTCGCGGTTGCTGTGCAATTGTGCGTGTGTTGTTCGTGTTGAGTGTGCATTTCCAATGCGCACATGCTCGGCTGTAAATCTACGAATTTATCGTTTCGGGTCGGCTCAAATATTTGAGCTGCGTCGGTAATTTCGCCTAATAAGGCCTTACAGCTGAACGCCGACGCTAGAGCTGGCAGGTTGCCATCAGGTTGAGAGTAGGGGTTACAGCTGGTAATAGGTACAGGTCACAGGTGTTTCACTTTAAAGGATGCCTTTTTGGAAAAATGGGGGTCTCTGATATATTTTCCCAGAATTTTGATGTTTTGAAGAAAGCTATCCTCTTGACAGAAGTGGGAATTCCCCTGAGTGAGGACAATAAAGCGAAACCAATTAATTTCAAGTTTTGCTTTTTAGGAAAACTATCACAATAAAAACGAGCGTTTTCAAAAAAAGAATAATAAATAATAAATAATAAATTAGCTTAGAAAATTTTCAGTCTGAAAACTCGGTCTTTTTCTTGAAAATAAAGCAGCAATTTACTTTTTTCAAGCTTTCCTTTTCCTGAATGAAAAGCTGTTTCTACAGAAAATGGCTGTTATCCTCGGAAAAACCAATACAACATTTCTAAACCCTTTCTATTTCTGTTCGAAAAGCAATTCTCTCAATGAAATTCGCAGATTTTTCCCTTCGAGAAAGAAGCCAATATGCTACATTCGATCTTCTCCTCTCTCTGGTAAAATAATTTTCTCAACAAAAACTAGGTTCTTCGAAAAAAAGCACACTAATTTGCAGATTTTTTTTGCTTTCTGAAAACTATTCTTCTGAAAACCGGGGTTTTTCCGAAGAGGAACGGACAGTTTGTTGACGACAAGCTATAGAAAAGAAGATTTTTTTTGAGACTGAGAAATAGGCATTCGATCTGAAAAAATTTTCTTATGAAGAAAAGCTATTCTCCTGACAGAAACTTCTCGAATGAGATAGAATTACGTAAATTCAAGCTTGTGAAAATTTCATTTTTACTTTTACCTTCTCGAACCGTTCCAGCAAGTTAATTATCGTATTATCTATGGAAGTTTCTTGGACCTGCTAAGCTTCGGTTAAAACTCTATGCAACCAATTTTTCCCGGACTCTGCCCAACCTTATCCTCTTCTTTTTAGGCTATGGATTCACATCAGAAGCCTGTCCGTCGGCTGCTGTCGGATGTCGAATCAAAGCTCGATCCGATCATGTGGAGTGGTATGAATGGTCAAAATTATACGACAGGAATCAGTTGGTTTGTGTCTATCCAGGCGAATACGACGGATTAGCAGGTAAGTGAAGAGAATCCAGGTTTTTTGTGTGTTGTGGGTTACGGTAGAAAATTGTTTTGACCTTTTCATCCTCTGCAAAAGAAAAAAAAACAAAAATGCTTTAGCTTTTGCGCAATTTTCCCCTGAACTTTGCAAGTGTCCAACACCACAAAAAATCCTATGAACTTTCCCTCCTAAAATGACATTCCTTTCATGATGCTGTTCGTTTCAGGATGCGTACGAAAACATTCGGGAAATGTTCGTTGTTGGTGTGGAGGAACGGACGATTGTAATACTCCAGAAATGAGTCGACAGCTTGTCGACGCATTCTTGGGGTCAGACAGAACGAAAATGGAAATTATTATGAGAAATTTGGAAATGGGCGTCAATCAGGGTGAAGAGGTGAAAGGTGAAGGAGAACTTTTATTTGACTGAAATTATTTCCATCAGACAGTAATTACCAATAAATCTGATTGCTACTTTTATTCCATCCAGATGAGGTAGAAGTAGCCACGAAATGTTTTTTAATTTCATAAGTAAAAGAATCAAACAAGAAATTCACACCGTAAGCCAAAAGAGATGGCCAAAAAATCTGTTTACTCGAGTTTACCTGATTTCTTAGATTGAACAATTTTGCAATGGACCGTTGCGAATTATTTTATCTATGTTCTTAAAAAGAAATTTAAAAATATACATGTAGAAATTCGGATTGAAGGGTAAACTGCTTTCATTGGATACATTTTCTACTTTGAATCACTGGCAATTGTTTGATCTACTTTCAAAAATTTCAGAATTCTTGCATGTTATAACTATGAAAAATAGAGATTGAAACTTATCTTACCTCAGTTTACCTACTTTTGTGAATGGTTTATAATTTGCAGATTTTGTAAAAAATATTCGAATATTCTGATCTAATAATCTTCAAAATAAAAGAGATTTACTTGCTTTTGAGAAGTTGTTTTTTGATTTTCTGGATTACTGCCAATAATCTGTACCCTACAAATTTTGAAACCCTTGATTTTTATAGAAACAACAACGACTGAAATGCCCACCACCACGACCACAGCCCGGACTCGGCCGACCAGGCCACCGGCGAAAAAAGTGACGCACAAAAAGCCGCATCAAAAACCCACGAAAATGGTCGCAAAAACAGAAAAGACCACAAAGATGACGTCATCTTCAACAACGACGACGTCGACGACTTCAATAACTTCTACTACTTCTACTACGATGAAAACTGTCTCTAAAGCAATCAGCAATATTATCGAAGAGGGAAAGGTAAATTTTTGATTTTTTCGCGAAAGATTATACTAGGATAATCTAATTAACTGGTATTCGATCCCTCCTGCGTATTCGGTTCTCATTTTCATCCCATTATTTCCATGTCTAGAGCTCTTTTGTTCATCTTTTTTTACGCCCACCAAAAAGAGACTAAGATTGATAGCTAAAGGCAACAAATCTATATGCAAATAGGTTTTCGTTTCGTTCATGGCTCTGCGCTTCGTAAATTTGCACAGATTTCAGCAGAATTTTGATTATGAAAAAGAAAAATTGAACAAAAAATGATTTTTACGCAAAAGTGGCCGTCTAGAACAGCGTGATTTTCTTTACTTAATGATTATTAAAAAAATTATACTTCAATTTACCTTACTTCTGTATACCTACAAACTAATATGTATGACTGTAAGTGTATTTGTAATAGTGTTTCTCCGGTGTAGGCAACATTTGCGCGGAAGTAAATACTACGCTCGAGTATACTTGTGCCAACTTGCTCATGATTTGCGCGCAAAGCTGGCCACAGAGAGCACACTGACATTATTTGTGCTACGTCTAGAGTTCCCGTGCCAGCGCCGTGCAATCGTTCCGATCGATCGATATGGGGCAACCCACGTGGACGCTCGCTGGAGCAACTCTAGGCGCAGCCTTGCGCGCGAATGTTGTCAACACCGCAGAAACACTATAAAGGGGGTGGCAAAATCACCGGCGCGTGTTTCTTTGGATGCCAAAAAAATAAAATACGGACTTGACGGCGGATCAAGCCTACATCAATTTCCAAACCATTATCATCATAATGCAGTAGTCAAATCAAAATTTGGCTGCTTTTTTTCGAAAAAATCTTAAATTCCCTTTCAGCTGAAGTGTGCTCTGTAAGCAGGCACAGTTTTGAGAACCTCACAATATCCTTTCCAAAACCTTATACTTACTTTCAATTTGCGCATGAAAGTAGATCAAGCCTTTGCCTCCAACATTGCTGAGTACCTAAATTTGAAGGTTAATTTGAGGAGGTCTTTCTGTTTGTTCAAGAATATGCCTGAGAAGGAGCAATTCATCGAAAATCAGTATTTTGGCCTCTCTGAGTGCGCCCGGGATTGAAAAGTGCTTTCTAAATTAGTTTCAAGAATATTTGCACAGACCGGTCAGGATAGATACTTTTTTACACTTTTCATAAATAGAGAAATGTTTTTTATTTGAACGTTTTTGCATGTCTGGGATCTCACAGTCTATTTTGAACATGCACTCTTTGCTCTACGCTCAGATATTTTCCGCAAATACCTTTTTGTTTTCGTAGAAAGACAAATTGTTGCGAGTGCAACAATGCAACTAGGACTACCCTTTCATTCAACTGGATTGGCGGCTGGAAAGCGGGGCTTTCTGACCTAGTTAAGGCTAGAGAATGGTTAGAGGGCCCGTGCACGAGAGAGACGCAGAGTGCGTCGCGGGCGCGAGCGGCCTTAATTAGGTCACGAAACACCGCCTTCCAGTCCCAATTCAGTTGAATCAAAGGTTATATGATAGTGCAAAGCTGCTCTACAAACTCACTTGGAATGGTTCAAAAAGGATTTGAGTTCATTTAGTTACAGGGCGAAATTTGAAGGTATAGAAATGTCATTTTTGCTTTTTTCAAAGCTGCTTCTGACTCTTTCAATTTTCAGATTTTTCAAAAGTGGCCTTTCTGAGTTCTGTAAAATATCCTTTACAGAGTTTTTCTAGGACATTAAGAGCCCATATGTCTCAGTCGCTTTCTCGTGCCATTGCTGCAAATTTTGCGTCAATTTTTCACTGTGTTTGAGCCATCAAACCAATCTGGCTAAGAATTTTTCATCAAAATATCAAAGCGAAATTCAGGCTTTTCCTCTCCCTGGTGATACCTTCGACGAAACACGGAAACGTTTGAACGAAGAGATGAAAGAAGAAGACGAACGACTCCAGCAACTGCTGGCTGATGAAGAAGCCGAAATGATTAGCGATGACGATGAAACTCGAGAAGAACGAGAAGAACAAAGACGTCGTGATCGAGAACGGAACCGCATGGAAAGGTTTGTGCAGTTTTCTCGCCCATTTGTCATGCACTTGAAATTACCCGCAAATGTTGCAGAAAAGAAAGAGCACGTGCAGATGAGAGACGCAGACTAACAGAAGAAGAGACACTACGAAATAATGAGAGATCACAGAAACACCGAGAAACATTACCGTCAAGTGAACAAATGGATGAGTATGACTACTCGGACTCTTCTTCAACTACAACGATTTCCTTTCTTTCATCGATCTTCTCATTATTGGTCGTATTATTGCGGTAAATTATTGATTGTTTATTATCGATTTCTCTCGCTTTTCTTGATCTTCTTCGCGGTTCATTCAAATGTCGGTTCCATGCATATGCTTTAGTTGCTTGATTTATTCGATGATCTACATTGTTGTTTCGCTAGCTGATGACGTCATAGACGTCAACAAATAGAGAGCTGAGGTTGTCAGGCTACCTCACACCTTCTTCTGGATATTGATCGATATCGATCAATACACAAATTTGTATTTTTTGCGCTATTATTCTACTTACAAGCTGCATGTGTAGACGGTACTGGTGCTGCTCTCCGCCACTTCATATTTTTGTTACGACACATGAGTTCTCAGCGTTTTGTGTATAGTATGCAGAGTTGTTCTTGCTTTGAATTATGATAAAATAAATATGTATATAACATAATGTGCATAGTGAAGGACGCAACTGCAGAAATCGCGGAAGTTGTGGGTTTGGTTTCGCCGTGTACAACTTCAACCATATCTATATATTCCTTGTAGACACAAAGGAATTTCTTTGATTTGGAGCGGGGAAGGAGAGGAATATAAAAATTTGAATCCACAACAGAAAACATTTTTTTATAAGGTTTGAATTTTTTAAAGCTTCAAAAAATTATATAAATTGTATACGAGTCAAAGTAAGCAATTTACACTTCTGTGTATCTCAGAGAGACAAACATGCGAAGTTTTAGGAGCAGAAGACAGTATCTAGACTTGCTCGTGTGCCAGCGTCGTGCTAGCGCCGTGCCATGCCCAATTAGGCTCACTTCATATTGATCGATCGACGATGCTGGCACAGACAACCCTAAGCGCTCCTAAGCCTCGCATGAAAAAATAGAACGAACCTCATGATTCGTCAATTCTTTGCTTGTCAATGAATTCGTTCTAGAGCTGTTTTTGACATAGTAACTACAAAACAATTCAGTCCTATCATTCAATTTGATCAAGTATAGAATTTTTGATGCGCTCATACCTGTCAAACACCGATCGATTTTTGAAAATGACTAAACTATATTCAAAGGAAAATGTTGCAGTCAAGAAGCAGTTACAGCTGGCTGAATTGTGCAAAAAGAGAAAGTCACAAACGCTAAGGACTTGCATTAGAGCTCGGCACAGTTGGCACCATGGTCAAGCTGGATATCGTTTTGGGATAAAAAGGGTATTGTTTTTGTGGCCAAAAAGACACAAAGATTACGACGTTTTTTACAGTCCTAGTTCAGGGTTTAGGGTCAAAGGGAACTTCGTATGAATCATTTAAGATCAAAAGGGACTTCGTTATGAAATTTTTCTGGTGCCAACTCGTGCCGAGCCCTGCTTGCATTCTATCCTAATCTACTTCAACTTTATGGTTATACATATACACAGAAGTAACTTTTATTTGTTCATTTGTGACATGCACAGCTTGGGAAGTCCGAGAATATTGTGAGAGGATCTACCACATTATAGTATTGTTGGCTAGCTGATGGCGTAAAATTCTACCCAATTTGAACTTGACCTACGAAGAATGAGCACTATTGCTATCAAACGAGCAGGTAATCGAAAAGACTGCCAAGTTCATCTAGTTTGAGTTCTCTTTCACAAAGATAAGCAAATGAAAATTGAACAAATCCACTATTCTCAACTACCAGGAAAGGTAAGAGGCAGCTTGGTCTATGTACTAACATACAGACCTTTTCTAAAAAAAGTTACACTCAACGAAGCTTGCACTTCGCACTGCTTTCTTCCTTTTTCTTTCTTTTTCATCCTTTCCCATCTTCTCCTCTCTAAAGTCCAATCGTCACTATCTTCGAAAAATCAGGCAAAGTTAACTTGTTAAACGATCAGGAGGGTTGTGATAACGCTTACAGCGGTAACAAGTTGACAGCAAATTCTTTTTATACAGGGTGTCTCAAAAAATCTTATAGATAAAGCTGAATGTCTGTATGTCTGTCTGTATGTCTGTACGTATGTGCGGAATAGAAATTTTTATTTCTGAACCGATTTGGACCAAACTTGGCACACATATACTTCGGGGCAGGGAGCGTGTCATAGGCTACTTTTCGTTATCGATCGATATCGATTTTATCGATTTTTTGCAAAATTTGAGCTACGGGGCTGGGAGTTGGCACAGGGGGGTAATCGAGCATGCTGATTACGAATATAATAATGACAGGGCCGGGCGGAGCCGGGTTTGCCAGCTAGTATGTCATAAATATGCTTACTCTTTGATTATTAATAACTCTTTTGCCAGAAAATCTTTCGAAAAACTTCAGGTATCATTTTGTAGAGCTAGCTTCAACTTTGACCTACAGTATGGAACAAATTACCATTCTACATTCATTACTGTAGGATTACGGTGGGAATGTTACAGAGGGTTTTGCACTGATGGTCATATTTCAAGTCTAAAAAAGGATTAAAGAAGCTGATAATTCCTATACCAGATTAACTAGAGTCGCTGATTCAAAAAATGAAACTCGCACTTCACCGCAACGCTTTCCTTATAAGTTACGAGCTGGCATCCAAGGTTTCACCCCGCTCTGGAGCCAGTCCATCGTGCTTGATCTCTCATGTTGCAAAATTAACCCTTCATTCGAATTCGACTCGCTCTTTTTACCGTCCTTACCATATCTTGATGACCAGCAAATCACAATGAGCTTCACCGCTCATTCTTCATGACTATGGGAAATGTGCGCAAACACACAAACACACAAATTTTCTGCTTTGTATATACAAGGTGGCCGAAAAGTATGGGCGTCACATATTTCGTATAATGATTTTTCATAGCAAACGAAATTCTTTGAGATTATCTTTGCATGCCAAAAACGCAGGCATCTTAATGTGTTACTCCTGTATGACTGGGTTCATACACATGTATACAGACTTCAGCAGCTTAGTTTGAAGTTGATGCGCCAAAAATGCTACTTGAAGAATGTACCCATTGCGAATCCGTTGAAATAATCCGATTATTGATCGAATAGATTCTAAAACTTGAGGTTTTGTAGAGCACAGTCCAAGGAATAACATAGTCCGTAACAGTTAAAAATTCTGCTCTCCAAAATAAGACACGGCACCATAAATATGGTGTTAACTGAACGCGCCGCAGCGCCTTTTAAGAGGAAGTAGACTCAGGAATCCCGTTTGCATCAGAAGACATCAGTTCGCGTGATTTTCACTTATCTTAATATAGAGACTGTCCATATGCTACAGGCACATTAGCCGCCATGACAGAACATTTCAGGAAGAAGATATATTATATGTTGCAACGCCCATACCCATACCCGGCCACCCTGTATATAGATACCAAATATACCAAATACCAAATAAATTACAGCTGACTTCTGATTTTCGTCAAGAATTTGATTACGCCATTTAGGAGGATCTGCGAACGCGCAAAAGTTGTGTAGTGAAACCAGCAAGCATGAAAACCTTGCTACAAAATTTCACAGACTTTCTGAACTTTTTTCGAACGACCTATCTCAAAGTGATGCCATATGCTGCAAGTTCCTACCGTAATCCAACAGTAATGAGGAAAGATTGGTAGCTCGCTTCATACTGTAAATATGAGTTGAAGCCAGCTCTACAAAATGGTACCCAAACTCTTTCGAAAGATCTCATGGTAAGAGAGTTACTAACAATCAAACAATAAGCACATTTTTTGGGACACTATATCTGCTATTATGCAGTTCAATTCCCGCAGAGTTTTTTCGTTTTTTTTTATTTCCGATCAAATAACTTCATTTGGACCACTCTTTTACTGAAGTATTGACGAACTTTAGAGCAGAGCATAGATTAAGCATCCAGCTCCTAGATGACTCACACTTCTACTAGTGCTGCGTCCTTCGAACGACATCCGAGCACGACATCCTTCCTATTCACTACGGAGAATAATGGATAGGTTCATTTCGCGCACTTCAAACTACGATTCATGAACACGAGGAAACATTTCAAGAACTTATCACGGAAAAAAACATTTTCGGTTCCAATTTGGTTACTTAGGAAGTTGTAAATATCCTATTTGTTACTTTTTATACATAGAAAACATCGACGAATGATGCACTTGCAGTGGGCTTGTCGCGGGTGACAGAAAATGCTTTCAAAATTTTTTTTGCAACTTTTTCAACGTGGGGTTTATAAGCAGAAAATTGTTCGTAATCTGGTCTCAATTCTTCGAGTTTGAAAAAATCTGATTAAATAATTCCGTACATTTTTTGGACCATGTTTTTGGAATATTGGTAAGCGTTCCGATCGGCCTTGGATGAGCTAATGGCATCCGTTCTCCATGCATATACGAGCATGGTCAACAACAATAAGCTTTGCGAAATTAGCCATCGTAAAGGCTTTGGCTTGTAAGTGATAAGTTTCTACTAAAATCGGAGTATCCTCCTACGGGAAGTCAGTAAGCCAATTTGCAATGAAAAGTTCAAAGAAGCATATTTTATCTGAGAACGTTGAAGGTTCAACATTATATTTTTTGTGCCACCAAAGACCGAAAATCTCAGGGGATATAAAGGGCAGGACATACTTCAGGCGACGCGATTTGGCAATTCGCCAGAAGTCTTCAGATCCAACACTAGCAAACTGCACATGGATAGTGTGTATAACTCATGTGAATTGCTGATATACCCTATCTTCTGTGCATTTAGAATATGTTTACATTGCGTTATGGACAGTCATTTTGCCAAATCGCGTCGCGACTGAAATCGCGTGAAGTATGGCCGCGCCTTAAGGCTCAGCTGTCTGAAACGATCGTTTTTGACTTAAAATTTGCACTCTATCATGAAATTACAAAACCATAGGCCTCCATGATTCCATCGCAATCACATTGCACTTGCTCATAAGATTTTGAAATTATCTGCCCTCTGAAATGTATTTTATCTGTTTCTCTATATATGTGCTTTCTTTTTTTTTTGGAAGTATCAATTCCATTTAGCTGGTAGCGCTCTATTTTAACACTCACGTTCTATTTTAACACCCATCTATTAGAATGTGCCAAAAGTAAAGTACTTCGAATGAGTTAAGCTGTTTTTGTTTTCCTAACAGAGTTAGGGTATCATTCAATAGAGCAAAGCAAGCTCTACAAAAAGACCACCAGGGATCCTTCTAAGTCGTGATCCATGTGATGTTTGGAGCCAAAAATCAAAATTTTTCAGTTACCTTAGACATCGGATCTCCTTTCAGAAAATTCCTACGGACTTCCACCTTGGTCTTTACATAATTGACACATAGTAGTACTCAAAAATGTAATTGTTGAGTACTACTGTGTGATTTTACCACTACGGATTTTTTTAAGGTTCAAAACTGAGAAACAAGGATGGTTCAAAAAAGTCAAAGTGCCGCCTTTTTCGCTTTTTTTCATGTAAAACTTGATATTTCTCGATTATGAGAGCACAT